CTACATCCCTCATCCCGACTCATCCCCGGTCCGCATCCCGGCGCATCCCTCATCCCGGCGCATCCCCGGTCCCCATCCCGCTGCCTCCCCCGGCCCCGCCGCCCGCCCACCGCTGCCGCAGGGCCGCCAGGTCGGTGGCGAGCCCGTCCCGCTCGGCCTGGAGCCGGTCCCGGTCGCGGCCGAGGCGCTCCAGCCGCTCCCGCAGCCCCCGCAGCTCCCCCTGCACCAGCCCGGTGCGGGGCCCGGTGGCGGCGGCGGCGCGGCCCAGGGCGGCGCGGAGGGTCCCGTTCTGCCGCTCCAGCGCCCGCACCCGCTCCAGGAAAGCGGCGAAACGATCGTTCAGCGCCGCCAGTTCCTCCCGCTCCGCGCCCCGCGCCGCCGCCGCCGCCGCCAGCCGCCCCGGGGCCACGGGGAGGGGCGGCGGCGCCCGGGGGTCGCGATCGCGGCGGCTCATGGCACCAACCGGGAGGGCGGCGGCCGCCGGTACCGGCTGTTTATAGAGGACAGCGGCTCCGCCCCGCTGGGGGCACCCGGGGGTACGGAGGAGAGGGGAGGGGTCTCCCTGTCGGGGGGAGGACCGGAGGTTGCGGATGTCCCCTCCCGGGGGCGGGGAGAGCGGCTGCGGGACGGGGGGCTGCAGGAATTCCCCTTCGGAGGGGCCCGGAGACCCCCTGGGAGTGCGGGGAGAGGGGGGTTGGTGGGTCCCGTCTCGAGGGTGCAGCATCAGGTGCGGGGGGGGAAGAGGGGCCGGGGGTGTTCGGGAGACACGGACCCCCGACTGGGGCAGAGGAGCAGGAGCAGAGGAGCAGGAGGAGACCCCCCATTTGGAAAGCAGGGAGGGCGGGGGGGCTGCAGAGCCCAGGTAGAGCCCCCATCTCAGCTGGGTCCCGGCCTGCCCGGGATGCTCCGCACGCCCGGAGGGGGGGCCCGGGCCCTCCCCGCGGTGCCGGGGCAGCCGTGACTCGGCTCTGCGGGAGCCGCCATGTGCGGGCAGCGCTGGGCTCGGCCTCCCCCGACCCCCCCTTTCCGGGCAGCGAGGGCGGCACTTACGGGAAGGAGTCAATGCCCTGTCCAGGGGCTGTAGGGGGGGGGTCCCTCCCGCCCAGGACCCCCCTCCCAGCTCTGCAGAGCACCGCACCGAGACTGGCTCCGTGCCAGGAGCAGGACGGCACCACGTCCAGCCCGGCCTGTCTGCACCAGGGCTGGGCCCTACCCACGCTTAGGGGGCTACCAGGGGCGTCCCCCCCCCGCTTGGCGTCCCCCAGGGGCAGCAGAATGGGGAGAGGGACATCAAGACTGAGTGGCAAACAGCCCAGCAGGGCACTGCCAGCTCGCAGCACAGGACCCAGCCACACACAACTCCCCAGCATCCCCCAGCACAGCCCCTGTGCCAGCTGGCAGCACGGCCAGGCAGCCAGCCCAGCCCAGCTGGGGCCCCCCCTCCCCTGGGACGTCCCCCCCAGGTCACCACAGGGCAGATTGTCCCAGCACAAAGAACGAGGCAGGAGTGGAAACAGCCATTTTAATGAACAGCACCACAGTGAAACACGAGAGACAAGGCACTAGTATTCCGCCCCCTCATCATCGCCCTCCAGGCTGTCGGCCCCCACCTCCTCGTAATCCTTCTCCAGGGCAGCCATATCCTCCCGGGCCTCCGAGAACTCCCCCTCCTCCATGCCCTCCCCCACGTACCAGTGCACGAA